ATCTTTCTTGTAATATTATAATCACGCTATAATCATTACAATCTTTACTCAAAAGTACACGGCTGAGGCGAGTTGTAGACCCCTCGGTGCAATGTGACGTCACAATATTTGAATAACAGTAACATAAGAAGAAAGAAGCGTACGACTTACCCTTAGCTGTGGCATCTGGCTGATGAGGGAAAAGACACGGACGGTGGCGCCCGAGCTAAGTTTTGCAACGTAGTCAGAGGCACCCGGCCCCAGCGTCAAGGCGAGGCGGCGAAGGTGCGGCCCGTACTTGACCAACAGCTTAAGGATGTAATTCTTGTCGGTGGTCCGCTCTCGAAGCCCGATGAGGCCTCGCACATCAGTCACGCCGTTCTTGAGGGCGCGCCAGACACCGCCATTCTGCAGCACAGCAAGCGCGCAAAGACCCCGCCCTTCATTGTAATTAACAAGTTCAGTCCCACGTGACCATACTTTGTTCTGTACCCTTAACTAGCAACGAAGTGTTTGTGTTTGTCCACAGCCAGAAGGGATCGATAAACAAAAACGTGTATGTAAAGGAACTTTTTTTTGTACCTTAAACGACAAATTGAGTCATTAGAGGTCACAAAATATTCCTTGCAAAATTGTACCGTCTTTTAAAACAAGGTAGATGTACGCCAGACCACGTGTCGCGTAACAGGCTTCGCGATATCTCACGAAACACTGTAACGCTGCGACGCGCCTAGCATACATCTGGGTAATTCTCAGAATACGGGCCATTTGGGAGTTCCTAAAATTTTTATTTTTTTGTCGAATTTGCTAGGTTTTTGGGTCGCAATGGTTTTATTTACCTTCAAAAAAGATACGTGTAAAGTGGCGATAGTTCAAATCACGTACTTCTAGTAACGTTAAAAGACCACATTGTGGTCACGTTCAATCAATGATAAAACTCAAATATTGCGTCCCGCCCCTTTTAATTAGTCTTTTTTTTGCTCCACTAGTGTGTCGTACTCATATTTTACATCCAGTCATCCCCATTTTATGAGTTTTAGTATGACTAGAACATTGCAATAAATAACTTGTTTTTCGCCCCGACACTGCTCCACAGATGCCCAACCTCATAATGTACAGTTCTAAATTAACCCCTTACTACATATTTCCTCATTAGGTCATTACAAGGCGTTACCTGTAACTAAAAGTAATTAAACAAAGATCAGACCTACAAAAGGGGATACGGAGTTCACAAGTCAGAAGGTACTAATTGAAGCATTACTAATCCGGGGTTGCAGATGCAAGGATCCGCTCAGCCACAAAAGAAGCAGCACATCAAAACCTTCCTTTTCATCGAAAGGGGGATTTGATATGACGCAATCGTGCCTGTGTGGAGGCGACACGGTATTCACACTGCACAAGCGTACCAGCCAACTTTCGAATTTGAAGACAGTTTTTGACGATGACGAAGTAGGAGCTCTGCCGATTGCTTCGGGGAACATTATAAGTCCCTACAGAGTAGTACTGTGGGCGTAGAATTGTTACTCTACCTCTGCCCAGTTTGACGTCAGTGCATTGTGAACTCCGTTACTTTTTGAAAAAGTTAGTGAGAACGACTTTGGTCGTCTCCTGACGAAAAATATTTCCACATCGAAATTCATTCCTTGTGTTCCCTAGATATGTCACTCCAGAAATGCAATGTGCCTTAGACGACTATTCCCTTAAAGTTGTCCGAAATTTGGCAAAGTCCGGATGAACTCAGACATTAGGAACGTAATGGAGTTCACATTTTGACCATTTAAACTGCTCTAGTCACCTACTGTTGCAGTATTATTAGGTTTTTAGTGTTGCAACAGGTAGTATTAGTGCTTTCGAGTATCTAGATGGTATAAAAACCTTTTCAAACCATAGTTGTGAAGGGCCGCGGAATCTAAACGGCCCGTATTCTGAGAATCACCCACCTACCTAGGCTTTACTTTAACTAAATATAAAGAAAACATAAGTAACTTTAAGGTGTCAGCTAGCTTTTACTCTCGATAAGCAGGAAAGAGAACTAAGAGCAAAACCAGAAATCATTATTTGTGCGCTGGGGGAATAGTGTCCGGCTGGCTGGCTGAGTGTCGCGCCAAGCCCCTTCCTTGCCCTGCCTAACAATACCACGCCGGATTGGCCCCTTCCCTGACAAACAATACTGGGCCACCGCCGCCAGCCGTCCTGCCCTCCCCGTATATGTCCTCTGCGCCACTAGGCCACCGAATTGCAAGATTGCAAGCAACCAAACAGAATGCAGCTAATGGGATAAAATAAGAACATAGCCTTATTCATAAATTTTTGACTAAACATAAAGAATATATAAGAAACTTTAAGGTGTCAGCTAGCTTTTACTCTCGATAAGTACAGAGAACCAAGCGCAGACCAGAAAACAATTTCCTTGGCGCAGGGGGACCGAGTGAGTGAGTGCCTGCCTGGCTGAGTGTCGCGTCAGGCCCCCGCTCAACAATACTAGGGTCCCAACGGCCGCGGCTGCCGCCCAGTTCGCTCCTCCCTCCCTCCCTCCCCTTTACAAGGTAGACGCACGTTAAAACCGTGTGAAGCTGAGCTAAATGTGCGTCTACCTTGGCCTGCGGCGCGCTAAAATTAAAATGTTTTCGCGATTTTGGTTGGCATGCCTGTCCACCTCACATCCCACGTCTCACACCAGGCGCCTCACTTCACGCCGTCTTCCGGGCGGTCTCCCCTTGCGCTTCCTGACAGCTGAGCATTTAAAGTTAAAGTTTAATTTCAAGTTCAAGTTAAGCTCAGCAATAATAATGCCTGTCAAAGACGATAAACGAGTAAAACATATAAAATATGATGCAAAACCACCACAAATTAAAATCAAACTAGAAATATTAAAACAGAGGTATACGCTAGTATTAAATTGGTATCATCTGCTTTCAAGATAGATTCTTGATTTAGATTTTTCGACGAAATTACAGCGAAAATGAACACGTTGCACATAAAGTTGTTCGGAACTTTCCAAAAAGAGGACTGGAAATTTTGTTTTCCAACAGCTGTTTGGAAAATTGCGTTTCCAAACTATTCGGACAGAATTTTGTTGGAAAATTCCAACTTTTATTTACAGTGCATAGCCCCAGACAAGAGATCTATGGACAAAAACGTGTCATTTTAAAGACAAATTGCGTCATTGGAAGGGACAAAATGTTCCTTGAACAAATTGTCCCCTCCTTGGAAACAAAATTGTTGCCAAAAAGGGGACGGATTTAAACGTCCACTCGCTGGAAAAAATGTCTTGTCCACGAAACAGGAAACAAGTTTGTCCATCAGGATAGAACAAAATTGAAATTTGTCCTCTCTAACGAAACAATTTTGTAACTTGTAAATCCGTTCCCTCGTTATGGACAAAATTGTTCTTTTGCATTTAGAGTGTAAAATTAAACTTTTCATAAAGCTCAGAGTGCATTTAGAGTGTAAAATTGAACTTTTCATAAAGTTCCAGAAATTAGTATTTTCCAGGATCGTCCTAACCAAACTCTGTGACCCTCCAGGACTTTTCAGTACTTCCCACACACTAAATCTGAAAGGACTTTTATTATCTCTATGGAAAGACGTCTTTGTACACATCTCAATCGGATGCCGAGTTTTATCAAGCAACGGGAGGAATTTGCATCTTAATGAAGGACAAAAAATAATTGTCTAGAAAAAGGATGCTAAATCGTCACTTGCCGGATTCGAATCTACGTCATGCTGAGATGAGGACAAAAATGCGCCTTTATATCGATAATTTCAGATATAGGGTGCAGGTTTTCAAGACTTATTGGAACACAAACATCACGGAAAATGAATTAATTTTCTACTTCTATTTCTACTTTTTTCTGAAATTGGCGTAGGCCTGTTCGACGTACAATGCTTCGTACAATATGTGATATGTTTCGAAAATAGGCCAATATTTTTTTTTTAATTAGGAAATATTTTCACGAAAAGAAAAAAAAACGCGCTAAATCTTAAAAAGGACTTTTATTGTCCACAGAAAGACGCGTTTTTGTGCACATGTCAACCGGATTCAGTTTCGAATCTCAAGGGACGAATTCGCATCCATTATGTGGACAATTATTTTTTGCCCACTTTAAGATGCAAATTCCTAACTAGCACTAGCTGGATTCCAATCTCCATCTAGCTGAGATGCCCACAAAAACGCATCTATGGACAATGAAAGTCATTTCAGATTTAGTGTGAATAGAACTGTAATATTTTTGGAGCTTTGAAGCCTTCTCGGGGTAAGAAAAACCTCACCACACAGTTGCTCTGCACACTCTAAATGTAAAAGAACAATTTTGTCCATAACGAGGGAACAGATTTACAAGTTACAAAACTGTTTCGTTAGAGAGGACAAATTTCAATTTTGTTCAATCCTCATGGACAAACTTGTTTCCTGTTTCGTG